CTCCCCCCTCTGCCTGCCGCACTGGCCCGTTAGCGCCCAGCGGGAGGAGTCGGCCGAGATTCCCTGGCCCCGATCCCGACAGCCCACAGCATCACCCAGCGCTTCCGAGCCCCCCTCCCCCCTAGGGCTGCCCCAGGCCGGGGCATTTCCACCGGCTGCAAAGGCAGCGCCTCAGCCGGCCCAGGAGGAGAGAGGTGGAAACGCTGCCCCACCGCAGGCTCCCTGCCACCCACGGGAACGACCCTGACTCGGCCCACACGGCTTGGCGCCCAGGCCCCCTCCCAGACCACACCCTGACCCTCAGCCCAAAACGGGGCCCGGAGACTCCAAGGCCACTGAGCTCACCCCAGGCCGGAGACGATCCCTGCCGGACCAGCGCATCGCTCCCAGGAACAGCCCCCCACCTCGGAGCCGCCGTGGCCCGGGCGAGTTCCCCGCACTGCTAACAACCCGGCTCCCATCCCCCCTCGTTTCGCTTCCTCTGCTGCTCTGCAGAGCCCTCGAGGACCAAATCTCTGTGCCCCGCAGGGACCCCTAGGCCGCCACGGCACCAACTCGCCGTGACACGGACCGGCCAGGACAGGGTAAGGGACCCCCTGGAGGTGGGATGGGATCTCCAGTGAATTCGGGGACAGGGCATGAGCACAGGGTGGATGCTCAGTCCCACTCTCCTCCACTCAGCCAGGCAAAAGCTGGGCAGCCAGCCCCAGCTACGGAGCTGGCTCCTGCCTTAGGAAAGCAGGACAAGGGCCCCTCTGGTAGTGGGGAGGGTTCTCGAGGGGCATAGGGTACTTGCCTGGGGAGGGCAGGGTAGTGGGTTCAAGTCCCACCCTGGGAGTGGCCAGACAGCTGCCTCAGGGATGGAGCTGCAGAGCCAAGGCAGGCTCAGCCCTGCACCACCCCCGAAAGCAGCTGCCATGGTGCCCTGCCCTGCCCCTCACCTACGGGCACCGATCCCGCAGCTTCTCCTGGCCACGGTTCTCCATTACTGATCAATGGGAGCTGCAGGAGCAGTGTCGGCAGGACACCCTGCCCCCTGCTCTGACCATCACAGGGACATGCCAGCCACCTCCAGGAGCACACCTGCCACAGGGACGACGACTCCAGACACGCCAGGTTTGGCGTTTCAGAACTCGCTACTCAAAGAATGACACGTGAGCGTAAGAGAGAAATGCACAGACCAGCCAGCAACTGAAACGAACCCAAAGAACCCACTTTAGAATCATAGAACTGGAGGAGACCTCAGGAGCCATCAAGTCCAGCCCCCTGCTCTAGGCAGGACCAATCCCAACTAAATCAACCCAGCCAGGGCTTTGTCAAGCCGAGACTTAAACACCTCTAGGGATGGAGACTCCACTACTTCCCTAGGTAACCCAGCCCAGGGCTTCCCCACCCGCCTAGGGAAATAGTTTTTCCTAATATCCAACCTGGACCTTTCCCACCACAACTTGAGCCCATTGCTCCTTGTTCTGCCATCTGTCACTACTGAGAACAGCCTCTCTCCAGCCTCTTTGGAACCTCCCTTCAGGGAGTTGGAGGCTGCTATCAAATCCCCCCTCACTCTTCTCTTCTGCAGACTAAACAGACCCAAGTCCCTCAGCCTCTCCTCATAGGTCATGTGCTCCAGCCCCCTCATCATTTTGGTTGCCCTCCGCTGGACCCTCTCCAATGCGTCCACATCCTTTTTGTAGTGGGGGGCCCAGAACTGGACACAATACTCCAGATGTGGCCTCACCAAAGCCGAAGAAAGGGGAATGATGACATCTCTGGATCTGCTGGCAATGCTCCTTTTAATGCACCCTAACTTTGCAAGCAGTAAACGTAGTGACAACCCCCACGTACGTGTTGGGTCAGGACAGTGTGTGTGTGGCAGCATGACAGAGACACAGTGTGTGAGTGTGACGGAGATTTGCACTGCCACGCTCTCTGTGTGGAGACAGGACACAGGAGGCCCCCTGACATCAGCACCCCCATTCCCCCACCCACACTCTGCACAGCAAGCAGGAGGCTCCCAAGGGGCAGCCCCAAGGCAGAGGGCAGGAGCAGCATGACAGTGGGTGGAAGGGCGACTGAAGTGCAGGCACTTGAGAGCTTCCCAGCCAAACCAGTCAGGATCCCGTCAGAGGCTCCGAGATCTCCCGGTAGATCCTGATCTCCTGGTTGGTGACCCCTACTGTAAGTGGTTCGCTGATTAAACGGGATTTTACATCCCTGGGAGAACTCAGGCAGGACCGCTCCCGACCCAGGCACGCATGGAGCGAGCGCTCCCATTTCAACCCGGAGCTGCAACAGGCCCGTTTCCAGGCTAGTTGTTAAAACCTTCCTGCTTTGGATCAGTGGTTAAGATCCTGATCTCCTGGTTGGTGACCCCTACTGTAAGTGGTTCGCTGATTAAACGGGATTTTACATCCCTGGGAGAACTCAGGCAGGACCGCTCCCGACCCAGGCACGCATGGAGCGAGCGCTCCCATTTCAACCCGGAGCTGCAACAGGCCCGTTTCCAGGCTAGTTGTTAAAACCTTCCTGCTTTGGATCAGTGGTTAAAAACCAACGGAGCCACTAAGAGGCTGCCTCCTCTGGCACTGCCAGATACTTCCACAAAAAATCCCGAACATGACGGGAAAAAAATTGGTTGAGCCCAAAAAAAAAAAAAA